GTAGTTGTTCATGGAGGCAGTTAGACAAGCATGTCAGCCCCTGACACTCCTCCTCCTACTGAATGGAGATCTGTAGTCAAGTTAAATGCGGGTGTTTTAAGGCCAGCATTTATGATTTCTGAAACATGCATGTTATTTGCCCATCATGACAGTATAATGAACAATAGTTTCACCACTTATTTAGAGTGAGTCAGCATTAGCTCAATGGCAGTGAATGTGGTGGGTTTTTAAAAAAAATGTTTTTCACTTTGGGTGGTGCAATATCAATGCCCGTCACTGCTAACTGAAGAATTGCCAGTTCAAGTCCATTGAGTAGTACCACAGACAAAAGGCCTGGTGATCCACTTCTGAAAAACCAGCCGTTGAAGCTCTACTCTGGGGAGTGGCAGAGGCGTTGCAGGTGGCCTCAGTTCCTCTGGGGGCAGCAGTTCCACCATCAAATACACCACCACCTCATCCTCCAGCAGGAAGAGCTTCAAGCACTGAAGTCCAAGACCAGCTCCCCTCCCGGGAGCACCAAGCCCCAGACGCCTCTTCAGCTGCACCGCTCCCTCCTCAACACCCTCCTCTCCTGGCCTCTCATTTTCGCAGTCTGAGTTTGGGTCAATGTTGCCTAGTGTCTTGCTTGTATCTCTCTGCCTGCGCCTGACCCACCTCAGCTTCCCTCGCTCGCATCAGTGTCCACAGTGCTTCACAGACAGACAGACATCAGTTTGATCTCCCAGCCCATTACTTGATTGATCAATCTGACATCACCTTGAACTGAACATGACCTAATGCCTATTCAGAACAGAGCCTGGGTCTGGCTGCAGAGCAAGGAGTATTCCCTTTGATTGGGCCTGTCCTGCCAGCCATAGATTTCCGCATCTTCTGGATGAAGTGCCGTGGCCTAATCTGCTGAGTCTCTGCACGTGTGTGACCGTCGGATGTGCACAGACCACGCAATGCTCCGCTGTGTTCTCTTGCCTTTCTCTTTCCCTGTTGAATAAAGCAGATGGATATTGAAACATTCAGTGTTTGATGGTATTGCTGATCGTGTAGTTTTAGAGCAGGGGTCCTCAAACGTTTTCAAACGGGGCCAGTTCACTGTCCCTCAGACCATTGGAGGGCTGTACTATAGATTTAAAAAAAAACATGAACAAATTTCTATGCACACTGGATGAGTCGGCTGCTAAGCAGGACAGGCAGCGGTGGCAAAAACACCTGGCCGGCCAGATAAATTTCCTCGGTGGGCTGCATGTGACCTGCGGACCATAGTTTGAGGACCCCTGTTTTAGAGACTTTCCTATCCTATGAACTGTTCCTCATCTTGGGAGAAGTAGCTCCTTGCCCACTGACAGCTCACCACATTTCTGTGGTTGGACAGTCACCAACTTTGCAGCCTCTGGTACCCAGGGTTCTTAAAAAAGAAGGGGGCAGGAGGGAGCGAGAGAGCCAGAGCCAGCGTAATCTGAAAGCTCCAGGGCTTTCCCCTTGCCCCCCACTTTTGATGGGTTGGTCCTCACCCTGATCTCTGAGTCTTCTTTAGAGACGCTTTTGGCCCTGCCCCCATGGGGGAACCATTGTACAGATCCAGCATTACTTAAGAAGAGCAGATACTTGATTCATTGCTTTAATAACGAAGACGCTTGCTACAAGGTTGTTGTGGAGGTGGCTGCAGTCCCAGCATCATGGGAGATACATCACACGTAGACCAATTGGCACAAAAAAAAGAACATCCCCAGATAATGGTGTATGAATTTGAAGCCACTTGGTTATGTGTGGGGCTGCAATCCGCATGGACGGCAGTTGGAAACCACCCGCTACTCCACAGGAGAAGGACAGGGCTTTCTACTCCCATGAACTGTTACAGTCTCAGAAACCCACAGGGAGTCGCCATGCCTCAGCATTGACTCGATGGCAGTGAGTTAATGATAGCATGCTGTTAGTCCCAATAGGTTTTCTCTGGGCCCTAAGATGCTGAAGACCTTCTCACGAAAAATGCTGGCCAAACTTGTAGAGTTGCACAGTTAACAATGGAAAATTTCATTCGCTGTAAATTCCATCTCATTAACCCTGAAAATCAATGAAGTCGTAAAAAAATTAACGTGTCAAGGGAGTGTAGGCGGAGACCTTGTTCTGAAATGCCTTAGTCAGAGGTGCGACTCATGGCCCATAGAAGCAGAGGGCATTCCGGTCAGAGGTCGGCACTCTGGTCAGAGGTCAGCATGGATGTTCTGGCTGAGGGTGGCCTCTGTTGGGGATAGGAGACCAAAACACTATGAAGTGGTCAACTTTCATGCACCTCTGGACAAAATAAAGTGTTGGAGGTTTATTCAAATCTACCTGGATACTAGTGCAAGGGCGAAAATGTAGACTTTTAGAAAGACAAGTGTGTTCTGTAATCTGGCTTATCAGATAGTCTATTCCAGACCCTTTTTCTTTGTGAAAGAAAGAACAAACCGAAACAAACAAGCCCATCCCCATTCAGACCGTCCTGACTCAGGGTGACCCTAGAGGGCAGGAGAGAACTGCCCCTGCGGGTTTCCAAGACCCCCTCTATGGGAGTCGAAGGCCTCATTTTCTCCTGAGGAGCAGCTGGGGGGTTTTAACTGCTGACCTCACCGCCAGCATCCTAACAGGTACCTATTACACCGTGAAGGCTCCAAAGACCAAGGGAAAAATGCCTAAGATCAACCATAATAAGCTGGGTGATACAACATTTTCATAACTTGAAGCCCCAGCAGAGACCCTGTGCCCTGAGGCATGAACCAAATTCAGACCTAGTTCTCTCCCCAGGGCTGTTTCAAAGTGGGTAAAAGTCTTATTGCTGAATAGGTCACTAGGCAGAAGGTGGGAGCTCAACGAGAGGTGTGAGGCTGACTTGGTTGAAGATTTGAGCTGCCCCCAGAGTCATCTTTTCAGGGTGTCAGCCAACAGCAGTGACTTCAGACCCTCTGGATGCCATGAAAATTGGAGATGC